CACTGAGTGTGGGTCAGCGGGCGTGGGGTGCACTGTGGTTTAGATTGGGGGCTTTTATTTTGACAGTGGAGGTGGTAGAAGGCCTGTTATGTCCTGTTGCCCAATTTAGTGTCAACAAAGATTGAAGCAGTTTGGAGCTAACCTGCTGTGCCATATCAAAAATTATCGGCTCTCCCTTTTTTTTCACTGCAGAAACAAAGGGTAGAGTTAGAGTCAGTAGATATAAATGCAATTCCTTCACAGACTGAGAGCCCCGTGTGAAACAATCAATTCAGGTAATCGCATACCTAAACAGCGGAATTCTGCCAAAAAGAATGGAGAAGCTTTATACGGACTGATATGGAATGGTCTCCAGGGAATACTAAGTGAAAAAGCCAAGGTGTGTATGGTGTGTTACCACCTGAGTTTAAAGCACACTCTAGCGACGCACCTACCTGTCAGTACCTGTGCCCGAGCGGGTTTTGTGGGAGGCCGCGGGGCTCAACCATCACCTCCTGCACGGCCAAGCACGGCATTAGGGCTGCATATGTGCGTAGAATCAGCCAGCCAGTGCTGGTTGTCTCTGGTAGTGAGAGCACCTTTTGTATGGTCTCAGGATCTTTTAAGTGTCTGTTACTGTTTTTATAGTCAGAAAACAAAAATCAACGTTTACACTTTGGCAAAAACTAAACAATCCGTGGCCATCTGAATTGTCCATGGCCTCCTTCAGAAGATTCCCCCTTTTCTTCTCCTGGGATGTAGGCACGTCTGTGTTTGTGGGTTCTGAGCAGGACTGACCCCTGGCCTGGCTCACTCTTGGGGGTGAGGCAGGGGCAGCCTGTGGACACACACCGTCTCAGGGTCCACCTTTGGGAGGGCCACCTCGGCTCTAGGTCAGTCAGACCCAAGAGGCCACATACTGTATGATTCCCCTCGTATGCCAGCTGGAATTGGACAGGACAAATAACAGCTACGTGGTGGCCAGGATTTGGTGGAGGGGAGAGCACACACACGGACTTCTTGGTGACAGAACTGTTCCGTAGGGCACTGGCGTGGCAGACACATGACTGCACGGTCGGTGGATCACAGAGTGACTTGAATGTATGCAAACGAACAAAACAGCAGCCAGCGTGGGAAAAACACATCCAACCGCAGCTGGGTGAGTCTGCGTTCATCGCACGTAGATCTACTTATAAAAATACCACGGCACCGTGCTGGGGGGCCTCACTGTTGACCTCCGCAGTAATCTTCACGCTGCCTTGGTTTGCTGGTGGTGTCTGGGTTTGTTCAAACAATAGTAAAGCAACACTGTCCACGCAAAAAAACGAACGTCCTTCTTCCCTCTTCTTTCCAAGGCAATAAGCCTCATTTCACATCTGTGCAGCTGATTCCATCTACAACACAGTAATCACCTGGCCGGCTGTGGGGGTGTCCCTGGCATTTCACTGCTTTTTGAAAATTCACTATTTGTGACCAATAGGACACGCTAGTTAGGACTCCAGCTCAGTCCAAGAGTGGAGGGGCTCTCTATGGGGTGGGGGCACCCGGGCCCACCCACCACTTTCAAAGCTAGGAATTACTCCTTCCTCCTGGGGTTGCCTGAGACCCGAGAGCTGGCAGAATGCAGGGTGCTGGTCTTCAAGGAAATTTTACAAGTCACTGGCGTGAATATAAATATTGCTGTTGTCATAAAACTTGAATTTAGACCCTAAAGATACCGTATTATTAATCAGACACTTGGTAGAGGTAAAACAGTCACAGACAGGGAAGGGGTCCCCAGTGGCTGCTCTCCAGGACCGTGACTCAGCTGGAGACCTCTTCCCAGATCATCCCCGTCGGGGAGGACTGGCCTCCAGAGCTGCCCCCTGCCTGTCTGAGCTCCCACCCGCTTTGTGTGCATGGACGGTGAAGGCCCCTCCAAGTGGTCACCTGCCACCCTGGCCCAGGTTTCTAAGGCTCCAGCACAGGGCGTGGGCCTGCTTCAGGGCTGAGCTGGCCTGGGTCACATCACAGTCACCATTGCAGCCTGTAGGGCCTACCCTCCCGGCTCAGCTGCCCTCACCTTGGCCTCCCGTGACACCTAGAGCTTCAGTGAGGCAGGGCACATCCTCCAGCTTGTTGAAAGATTCACACGGGGTAGTGCGGGATAGGGAACCTTTAAGACCCCCCATAAGTATCCCCCTCCTGGTGCTCCCCATGCCCCTCAGGGGCGCCTCTCAGGCCCCTCCCATGCTTGAGACCCCTCCACTGTGGCCACCCTGTGTGTTTCCCCCACACCTGAGCTGGAGGGCAGGGACCAGGTGCGTCTGTCTCAGAATGGGGGGGCCCAGTGTGAGCCTCAGTTTCCCAGCTATGAGCTGTGCGTCCTGAAGCTGAAGCTGGACACTCAGGGTGCTACACACCTATCTCCCGGGCCACGTCAGATGTTGTGAGGAGCAGGACTGAGGCACCCACCTCTCCCACAAGCCTGGCAGAGCCCCCTCCTCCAAGGCCTAAGATGAGGAGTTTGGGGACCTTGTCTGGGAGGGTTGCCCGGACCTCAAGGGTTGGAGGTGGGGGGCTTAGGGTTAGGCTGTGGGCTCGGCTCCCCCAGCCGCTGTGCTCACAGACCTCCAAGCCCCTCACTCTAAGGATCTAGGTCGTCTATGTCTGCGAACCGCTGCAGGACCACGCTGGGAGGGGCCCCTGGGGGGCGGAACTACACGGGATAGGGCGGAGGGGGCAGAGCCATGGCGGGAGGTGCAAGGGGGCATTGACCCTCCCTGGCACCCCGCCCCACCTGACTGGCTCCCCCACCGCAGGACGTCTCCGGAGGATGGCCCTGATAGTCTGGGAGTTCCTGAAGGACCCGCTGTCCTGAGCCTGCCCACTGGGGGCAACCCCGAGCTGGGACAGCTGCCCGCCTTGGCTGAGGTGGGAGGAAGTGCAACCTGCCCGGTCGGGTTGGTGTGCCCCACTGGGCAGGCTGGGGCCCCACACCCAAGGCGTGTCCCTCCCAGCTCAGGCCCCTGGGGCTCATGGTGCTGGGGCACCCCGGCTTCGGGGCCCACCTTCCTGTCTCCTCAAAGAAGCTTCAAGGTAAGGGGTGCCAACGCCTCCAGCGCTGCCTGCACCCCCACCCCAGCAAGATGGCCCCAGGGCTGTGGGATGTCAGAACTCGGGCTTGGGCAGGTTAGAGAGCCCTGGGCTCACTGTGGCGGCTCCTTCCGCAGAACCTCCCCCCCCCGACCCCATTCCTTTCTCCCAGGACACACGACCCTGCATGGCAGGTGGGAACCCCAGGAGTCGGGGGAGACTCTCCCGCCCCTGCCTCCCCCCAGGGCCCAGGCTGCTCACACCTCAGCCAGGCCTGAGAAGGTGCCAGTACCGCAGCCGGCCCACCGCACCCAACCCTGGCTGCAGGGAAGCCCTGCTCCTGGGCACCCTGCCGCGTACGGTCTGGACTCTGCATTTACGGCAGGCCCAGGAGTCAGGGAATGGAGAGTGTCAACATCACCAATACAAGGCAGACACAGGAGCCAGTGGGACCCGGCCCATGAGGTGCGCCTGGTGGAGGAGCTAAGGGTGTCCTTCAGGCAGTGCCTGAGGAATTCCCCGGGACACTGCTGGCATGGAGGTCACGTCCTGGCACCCAGCCTGCCCCCAGGGGCCTGCCCCCAGGCTCCCCCCGCCCCTCCCTGCCCTGAGATGATGCTCCCCTACAAGGACCAGATAACCCTGCCTCGCCCACACACCAGCACCACAGGCCCGCAGGGGCAGCTACACCCTCCGTGCACAGGGGCCCCATCCTCCGGACCCCTGCCCAGACTGTCCCCAAGGCCAAGGAGTGGTGGCATGAGGGACCTTCGCAGAGCCTACCACCACCTGGGAGGTTGGCCTGGCAAGCACACAGGACATGCCACGGCCTCCACAGTGGAAGTCTCTCCCGGGCCTTAGGGTGTACTGCGAGGCCACTGACGGCCAGTCCCCAACACCAGGGGTTCTGAGCCGGAACACAGTACTCTTCCCCCCATCAACACCAGCTCCGGGCATCCTACGGCCTCACAGCAGATCCGCCCCGGTGCCTGGTTCCAGGTCCACCCAGGCCCACTGGGGACAGAGGACTGGGCCCAGGACACTGCTGCACCGTGGCTCCAGCAGGAGATACCCGTCGGAGAGCAATGACAGGCACCGCCTCACACGCTGTGCCATCGCTGTGTCCGCAGGGAAGCTGGATACACAGGGATCGCCGGAGGGGAAAGCAGGCACGGGGCTCCCACAGCCCACGGGAAGCAGCCTGTCCTGCCCCCTCACACTGGCCCCGTCGGACAGGCCCCCACACAAGCCCCTGACCCACCGGGCCCCTGTGCACCGGGAGGGGAGGGGGCCCTTGAGCCCCAAAGCCAGGATGAGAATAAAGGGAATGAAGCCTCAGTGGCCCCAGCGGGCCCTGGAGTTTGGTCCAAGACAGGCAGCCCTGTCAGCAGAGCATGGCTACCCAGGTTTGCAAGTGCCTGGGAAGCCAGCTCGGTGACCTGTGGCAGGTGTCAGGGTGACAGGCCACCATGCTGAGGGATGGCTGGAGCAGGTAGCCGGGCCAGCTAGACCATGGACACATGGCAGGGATGGCTGGTGCCGGGCCAGGCATCTGATCCACAGCTGCGTCTGGGCCTGGTGGCCACGCTGCACGCTAGCGATAGGGCACTGGCACCCTGTCTCCAAGCAGCGCTGCGCCGCAGCCAGAGGCTGGGTCCCCAACTCAGCTGTCCTCAGCAACTTCCTTTCACAGTCTGAAAACTCAGAAACAGGGCCCCACCCCAAACAAGGGGCCCTCACGTCCACCCTGGTCTGGATCCAATGTTCCCCAAGAAGCTCCCCACCCCCTGGAGTGGGAAGGGCGATAAAGCGTCCACACTCCCTCAGCTGGTCCTTGTAGCACCCGCAGCTCTGCAGAACGCCCCAGACGCCCTATGCTGGCAGAGGGCCCCCAGGCCACCTGGCCGGGCCTCCCAGCTGCCCCCACCACGCAGGGGCCACAGCCGCAGCAGCAGTAGTGGGCCGGGCAGACCCCAAGACTCCCAACGTGCCTCCTGCGAGGCTGACACACCCTCAGCCTCCCGACCCCAAGGCCGACTCCAGGTCAACACCATCCAATAATTTACTGCGATTCCACCTGCACCCAAAGGGCAGGCGAGAGGTGGAGGGCGCGGAGCCAGCGGCATCTGGGACAGTTCGTGACAGTCTGTGCAAAGCGTCCGCGGGAGGTCTGAGATCACCTCTGTCCCCTGTCCTGGGCTGGCCGGGCCCTGGCGGCACTTCCTTCCTTCCTTCCGCGCATCCTTCCGCGCCTCTTCCCGGCCGCACCACCTCCCTGCGTCCCGCGCCTCCGCGCCTGCGCCTGTGTGGGCGGTGGACAAAGGCAGCCGCTGACCAGTCACCCGCAGGCCGGAGCGCACAGCACCTGCGCAGCCCGGAGTCTCGCCTCACCTGGCCGCCGCGGCGTCAAGACAGCACACACTTGCAGCTCATGCAGCCGGCGCCGCTCTCGTCCGGGGGGTTCAGCTTCCGCAGCTTGTGCTGTCGGATCTCCCGCACCAGCGTGTAGAAGGCGTCCTCCACACCCTAGGGAAGCGCCTGGCTCAGCGGGGCGGCCCCGGGCCCACCAGGGCTGCGGGGAGAGGGCTCCCCACCTCGGGCTCAGGCAGATCTAGCGCCTGAGGCTCCGGCCGGCCCCCTAAACACCCCCACACTCACACCCTCCAGGGGCCAAGCTACCGCCCCCGACCCCGTAGGCTCCCTCCTCAGCTGCTCCCCCATGGATCAGGGTACCCGGGAACCCCAGGCCCCGGTCTGGCTCGAGGCCTGACCCCCGGCGCCTAGCTCCCGTCTGAACTACGGCCGGAGTCTGTGGCAGCCCCACTACGGGCTCAGACTGCCAGGGGCCCTCAGGGCGCCCTGCGGGGCGGGGGGTCGGGCCCCCAGGGCCACCGCTCTGGCCTGGCTCAGGGCAGCTCTCTCCAGGGACCCCCACCTCCCCAGGGGCTGTGTCAGCCAGGCTGCAGGGCTGGGAGCCCTGCCTCGGCCCTCGCCACCCCCTGCCCTGCCGCCTGGGGGACTTACAGCTCGAGGGGCCGCTGGGGCCGCTGGGTCACACGGGTCCCAAGGGGTCCCGGGGGGTCCCGGAGCTGGAGCCAGAGCCAGAGCGGCTGCCCTGCGCAGAGGGAAAGGTGGCGGTGAGCATGGCCCCGGGGCATGTCCCTGCACTAGCTCTAGGCAGCGGAGAGGCTCACCTGGCGGGTCTTGGCAGAGGTCTCGATGTAGGGAAGTCCGTAGCTGCGGGCAAGTTCCTGGGCCTGCCGTGACTCCACGGTGCGGGCAGGCAGGTCACACTTGTTCCCCACCAGCACCATGGGCACATCGTCTGAGTCCTTCACCCGCTTGATCTGCTCCCTGTAGGGAGAGGTGAAGTGAGCCACGGCAGATCTCAGGCAAGGCTGGATCTGAGCGCACAGCGGCAGAGGCGGCCCTCACCTGTACTGGTGAACGTCCTCGAAAGACTTGGTGTTGTTGATGGCGAACACGCAGAGGAAGCCCTCGCCCGTGCGCATGTACTGGTCCCGCATGGCGCTGTACTCCTCCTGCCCTGCCGTGTCCAGGATGTCCAGCAGGCACGTCTCCCCGTCAATGACCACCTGCTTCCGGTACGAGTCCTGCAGGGGCACACAGCTCAGAGACCCGGCTGGCCCACTCCCCTCCGGAATGGAGCCTTTCTACCCTCAGCCCCTCCATTGCACCTCTCGGGTCACCCCTTGCCCCTCTCCCCCACCCCCACCTCCCTGCCAGGTCCTAAAATTATGAACTTCCTCCTGAGGAGCAGGTAAGAGGCAGCCCACAACACTGCAGAGCTGCGGAAGGGAGTGGGCCAGGCCCAACTCGGGGACTCTCGGAGCCAGAAGGACCCATCCTTGGTCTGCCGGCCATGTCCGCCCAGGGGCCTGTGTGTGCTTCCAGGCAGGTGCATATCCCAGGTGTGTACACCTCCCAGGTAAGTACTCGGCAGCAGCGGGCAGCCCGGCTCACCTCAATGGTGGGGTCGTACTCATCCACAAAGTGGTTCTGGATGAGCTGGATGGTCAGGGCGCTCTTCCCCACGCCACCCGCGCCCACCACCACCAGCTTGTACTCCGTCATTGCTCCTCAAGGGGCTGCCGCGCAGGCGACGGCTGTGGTAGCTCCTGCCCCACCTGCCAAGTAAGGCCGAACTCAGCCCCAGATGCAGGTGGGGCAGCCTGAAAGGAGACTCTGGCTGAGCTCCTGGGCCAGACTGCCCAAGCTGGGCCTGACTCCTAAGCCCTGATATCTTGGTGGCAGGGGACCCAGGACAGTGTCAGCTGCTCACCTGGGGCACCTCCGGCCCAGGAGGTGGCAGAGGGGCCCCACCGCCACCTGCACTTACTGAATAAGGGAAAACAAGAGGCTGGCCCCGCAAAGGCAGGTCGAACAGCTGAAAGCGTCTACCAACCACACACCCAAATTAGAAGCTGTTCGGTAGGCAGAAACCCTAAGCTGGAAGCGCCCGTGGGATGAGGTTACCCCCCACCCCCAGAACAGGTCTTGCCACAGCTGGGGTGCTCCGCGGCGTGTCTGGGCAGGCAGACACAAGCCGGGCGTGTCCACGGGCACTGACACGTATTTACTGAGCGCCTACTTCGTGCCAGGCGCCAATCAGGCCGCGAGTGACCCTGTGGGCTCCCCTGTGCTCCAAGGATCAGCCTCACACTCATTAAAGTGGGTGACACCTAGGGTGTCCTGTAAAGACTTTGGGGAACATAAGGCAGGTGCCTCAGCCACGGTGGAGGGCACGGACAGAAGGGGTTCCCAGTGTTGCAAAGACCCTAAGCAGGAAGGAAGACCCAAGGGCGAAAGAAAAGGGCCCTGGGAGTGGAGGCCCCAGCTTGGGTGCTCCGGATTTGTGACATCCAATGAGGGGTGGCCGTCGTGGGGGGAGTGGACAGCCACTTCCTTCAGCCCAGATCGGCTTGAAGTGTCTAATGGCCACTGGGGGGAGCGCAGCTTCAGAGGGTCCCTGGGCTCCCACGAGGGGAGAGACCTGCGCAGCGTCAGTGACACAGGCGGGGGCTCATCGAAGGGGGCCCACAGTCTGAGGGCCGTTCGTAGGAACCCACAACAGGAAGGGGCAGGTTTGGAGGGGGCCCTCGCAGCCCCGGGCCCCCACCCGCGCGGCGCAGCCTGGAGCC